TATATGGGGCGATAACTGTATGACTGAGATAGATGGATAAAGAATTGTATTAGGTCGACTTTGCCTAACCACAACATTTTAACTTGTTATTTTATCAAAGGTTTCGATCACCTATGAGATAAATTGTCGACTAAATGCACTTGATTTTCATGATTTTCAATATAAATCATTCATGATAAATAACTGCATTTTTAGTCAAAATTTGCAAAGGAGTATAGCCCAAGCTATCTACCAGATCAAAAAGCACACCAGACAGTGACGCTTAGCAAATGTATTGATTTCTTTTGACTCATTCCTGGACTCAACAGACTGCTAGTTTAACAATAGTGCTCATCTACGCTGATTACTGAGTTGAAAATGTGTCACATCAGTGAAGATGATGAAAGTTCTTTCTGCAAAATTGTCACTCAAAAGAGTACAATTTTCTGCGTAAGGGTATCGCGCTAATTTTTCTAACTCTTCGTTTCACGTTTATACTTTGCAATGAAGTGAAAACCACATCGCTTTTCAAACAAGTTATGAAATGCAATCACGTGTATTACAAGGCGATATTATGACGGTCTTAAAGCTAATCATGCGAAGAATTTGGGATAGTGCTTCCTGTCCGTCTGTCCGTCCGCCTGTCTTCTATTCACTTGGCAGATCATAATTTTTCAAATATTTCGATGAAATTTCGTACACGGCACTGTGTTTTGGCCCAACGATGAACGCTCTTGAAAATGGTGGGGAGACGTCAAACTCGTCACATGAAAAAACAACCGTATTAAGTGTAATTGCGTAGGGCATTTAATAGTGGGCTTTTATTTGGTCGCTTTAAAATTTTATTATTTACACAAAACGCGTAAAAATTTTTATTTGTTTCATTAGAAGATTACTGGGTATCATGGATGAACAAAATTAATAGAAATATTTTATAACAATAATATTTATCGATATATTGCATAAGAGAAAATTCGCATATCTCGTCGGCATATAAAATGTAACCGCAACGAGGTTGTGAAGCAAATCTTAGATTAAATGAATTTAGGAATTCTAAGCAAAGCGAATACAAATTTCAGGCGTAAAATTGCTTTCAACAATTGAAGGGTGAGAACTTGCTGTGTGCTTTTGAATTGTGTACAAATGGGAAACTGAGTTAATTAATATCAAATATTTATTATGATAATCTTTGAAACATTGAATATAAATTAGGATGATCGCATGGCATGGGAAAATGTGTAACACGATGTAATTTGAAATACACGGACAGAACTTATTCACCCATTGCAAAGCTAGCACAACTCTTGTGACTGGTACAAACAATTTAAGAACATTTATACAAACTTCACATTCCTTTATATCATTTTTTTCCTTTTTCTGAATCACCATTTTCGCCCTTGTCATACCGATTACTTAAGAATGTTAAGCGGTTAACACTTAACCAAATTCGCTCTGGCTTATACTGTCGCGCGGAATATCTGGGCTTTTCTTACGCTCAGATGAAGTCGCCTGCATACTTTTCGCTATAAAATCTTTTACTTTCACGATATTGGCGCTAAATTATGTTTAGTTTACCTATCACAAACTTGGATGACCTGTTAGGGTCATCTTCATACAATCATCAATACTATTATCAATAAAATCTTTTTCGGTCACCGCGAATACTAAGTTATTTCAGATGAACTGATAATGCAAACGCTTACAAGGCATAGTAATTAGTTTTACCTCAAATAACTGTTTATGAGCATCACAACCGATTAATTAGCGCAATAAGTTGGTAAAGCGTTAAGAACCGCGACTACCAAGTCAACATACTAGGTTTTACTCTCCAATGCGGTCGACCATACTTTGTATATAATAGGCGTGCGGTCGTTTAGGGGTAAGTAAGTTCCGTCAGTAAATTCACAGCACTTGCCGATCGAGCGTACACCTTACACTCTATCCATCGCTGTCTCTCTCTCTCTCTCTCTCTCTCTCTCTCTCTCTCTCTCTCTCTCTCTCTACATTTCACGTATGAGGGATACCCCTTGCGCGATTGTTTAACAGGAGTAGGGGAGTAGGGGTCTTTAGCTACAGCTTATCATCTGTCTTTGCGTTCGCCGTTTGAGTAAAACATGAAACGTACGTTGGATTCGAAAATCAGCGATGCATGTGTCCATTCGCCTCATCTCTTAAGAATTGATCGATTTCGCCGTTACGTTTTAAATTATAAGGATCTTAAAATTGTTACTCTTTTCATTTAGATACTTAAGCCCTATCTTGAAGGTTTCCTTAATATAATTTCCGTTACCAGTTCGTTTCCAATTACCCGAAATGCTTATATATATGGCAAATAAAGCAGACTAAGCAAATATGGTTTTAAATTTTGTATAACTATCTGCGAGACGACACCGAAAAGCACAATCGTATGAGTTTAGGTATACACGATATTCGGTTAGTGTGCTAAAATACACGATTAACGATTATTGGGTGAGTCGACTTTGTTTGCTCTTTAACTAGTGATGAGCTGAAAATACATTCGACTTAAGGCGAATTGAATTCTTTTCGCGTTTATTTATTTATCCACCTATAATAATATGTGAAGACTTCTGTACAATACACTGAAAATCTTATTATTACAATACAGAAGTAATGAATAAACTAAATCTGTACTGCGGCATATAATACATACTTGCCCTAATGTGTATATATTCCTAACATTAGCTACTGAAGGATTTTTATGTGACGATCCTAATTTATCGATTAACACTAACTGAATAAATTACATAAATCTTAGTGTTTTCGAAATGTGGTTTCAATTAGGTCGCGGAGCATGCTTGATGCAAACTGATCCGAATACCAAAAATAAAATAAAAAAAAAAAACTAAAAACATTATGCTCGAGAAAGACCGACCGTTTTACTTTGCCAAAAACCAAAAATAAATCCTTGTTCCCATGTAAAAGCATGTTTTTCCTCAGAGTTCTTATAGTAGGAAATTCGGATAGATTCGCTTTTAAAGACACCTACGATCGCTAAAAAACCGAAAGCAAAACTTAAATAAGCGTGCATTTCAGAACTTTGTTGCGCAACCTAACTTTGACTCATCGGCAATTGTTTCTGTTATAAAAAAAAAAAAAAAAAAAATTCCAAAAAATAGATAAAACAAAGTTCAGTTATTTGTCAATGCACTAACGTCACAGAAAACAAACGAGATTTGAAGCAAACCTTAACGTTGCAATGCTTTACCAGGCTTTCAAGCTTTGTTGCTCAAGCTAGAGATCATTTTGTGTGTGTTTTGTAGTAAATGACCCAACAAGTCTATTCCAAATAGTAACTTCATTTGGCATAACCTTGGCATTTATACGCCAATCGAGGAGAAATAAAGAAATTTTTTTAACGACAACCCTGCCGACATAAATGTTTAAAGCAGCTGACATAACAGCCGATTGGGGATGGGAAAGAAATTTCTTGAAAATGGAAACTCGACTTTTCAAGTGCACTTTTTCTCTACTCTCGATCCGTCTATCGACTTTAGCGTATTGCTAGATTCTTTACTTTGCATTCGAATGCCTTGAAATGGTTGCATTAGCTTCAAAACAAGATTCCAGCCATTTTGCCGATTTTTCGATTCTATTCGCGTCCATGATATCTGCAAATATTGTCATCTGTAGTGGTGAGGCGAGGCAAGATCAAAAAAAAAAAAAAGCACATCTCCATTGAGTTATTAAAAAAATCGAAAAGAAACCTTTTTTTCATTTACTTGAAGATTTGTGGTCTCATATGTCAAAACTCAAATATTCATAAATAAATAATTTTTTATTTTAAATTAACCTAATTTTAATGGAAACAAGTTAATATCATCTCACGAAGCAGACAAAATTATTGCACTTACTTACTCATCTGCCCCCCCCGCATCACGCCTTTAATGGGGTGCTTTAAAATATCGAGAAATAAACATAAACTAACAAGTGCAATGGTCGCGGGTTCTATTCTCAATTGCGGTAAAGTTTTCAATATATACGCGAACATATGATCTAAATGATCCGGTACCGTGCAAAGCCATACTTTTTATAAACAAAGGTATTTGCAATGAATAAATAAATATAGAAATTTGAAATTTGACTTTTAATCTAAAATTTCGATTTAATTCGGAATATTGACCGCTTCGAAAATAATTGGGGGCGGCCTACAGAGCAGTTCCCACAATAATAAAAACGTTCATATAAAACTTGAGAAAAGGAAAATTTTAAAATTATTTTCTTATCAACAACACCTAAGAATTTACAGGAATTAAGATTCGCTGGAAATGGTTCTAGAAGGCTTTTTAAGGAAAAAAAAAAAAAAAAAAAACAAAATGCACAAGTGATTTAATCAGATCGATTTCGGACATCCACACATTTAACAAATGGTCCAACGTGAAGATAATAAAATTTACGCGCTTATGTAGATCGAGTTTTGTAAAAGTTTCACGTAGACTTTGGCAGATGCATTAACATTTTAAACAAATTGTCTCTTCTGCGAAAAGCCGAAAAGAGAAAAAATGAATTCTTTTGTAATGGCATTGCTGGCACTGGTCACAGAAAAAATCATCATTACCAGTAATTCAGTTTATTTGTTAGCCAAATAATTAGCCTAGATGGCTATCTTAGTTAGTTAGTTAGTTAGTTAGTTTTACATAAGTAAAATACTTACATATATGTAATATATATATATAATTATAATAGCATATATATTCGGGGATAATGGTTGATAGATTAAATTAAATTAGATTGAGATGTCAAACCGAATGAAAACAGATCTCACGTAGGTCACATCAAATAGTCCACTGAGAAGGAATGCCCGAGAGTCGAGACACTAAGAAGGAAACTGGCTAATGTAATTATTTAAAAAATGATTTCCAAATAGCTTTTGATAGATTAGATATGCAATAACTTATATTAATACTTATATCGAAATCGATTACAACATCTTTTGCTTTAATGCGTAAAGCTAGAGATATATTCTGTTAAAACTCATTTTTGAAAACTTTGTCAATACAAACCTTTATATAAAATAATCCACATGAAAAGAATGTTTCAAGAGACTTTTTCATTCATATATTATGTACTTTAGTCGAAAAAGTGCTGCACAGGGTTTTTGCATTTAGCGTATTCAGAACAACATTTTTACAACATTTTAGAAAATAAAAGAAAACGGTTCAGAATAAAAGTCCGTAACAATTGTAATTATTTGGGAAAAAAGGTACAATTTAAACAAACGCGCACTCGTAAATTGTAAATAAATGGCTCTCGCTGTAACGAAAAGCAAAAAAGAAAAACTCAACTCTTTGTTTCCAACAACGACTAAAATTGTTGTGCAGCTATCTGCTGAATCGAAAGGAATATAAATACAAAAAAATTTTTTTTCTTGCTTTTATTAGATACACAGATGCAGACAATAGATGAATCTCGTTAGTGGTTTCTTGTTGCCTTTGTTGTTGTTGTTGTTGTTGTTGTTGACAACTTTTCGTTCCGGTACCTTAGTTAGTTATTTTGTTTTTGATTTGTATTTTCTGTTACAAGCTTTGCCACATTTTTGTTGCACTTATTTCCACCAAAAAAAAAACAAAAAAACAAAAAAAAAAAAGAAGTAAAATAAAGCGAAATAACGCAAAACATACATCAACTCTTATTATTATTATAGGTTACACGGCAAAAAAACACAAAAGCAACTGCATTCCCATGCACGCTCTTTTACAAACAAATGAATGAATTAATACAAAAATTAAATCTATATATGCATGCCTATGTGCGTGTATTTGTGTTCGCATATCTATAAAACAAAACATTAGCAGCATTAACCGCTTCAGCAACCGCACATGTCGAAAAGTTTTTCATAATTTTAACTTTAACCAATTAATTATATGTAAATTAATAGTTTTCTTCTTAATATTATATAAATTTACGCACATTCGTTCGCACAAATTTTCGCGATAAAAAATTTACACATTTCCTTAACCGTCCGAAAACTAAATTCAATCCTGCTGAGCTAAACAACAAAACAAATGAAAATATTTCATATATAAAATGTACAAAATACAAAATAACGTATATAATATATTTTTTACAGAGTCCCGCGATAAAAAATACACCGTCCAACACGAATGAATTCAAATTCAATTTTAAAATTTACTTTACTGTCTTTCCTATACATTTCTTACGTAGAAACTGAGTGAACTATCTAAATATCTACATTTCGATATCTATAGATACAAATTGTATCTACACAATACCATACAAGATGTGCAAAAACGCGCCTTTCAAACGCAACCAAATATATCTGAAGAGTAAAAATGTTATTCTCAATAAAGGCAAAAACAAAGAAATATACGGGAAAGTAAATTTTACTCTCAGAAATAAAATATAACTCTGCTCAGCTTATTTTACCATCATCATAAGAAATGTACAGTAAAGTTAGTGGTTACTCTCAAAAAAAAAAATAAATAAAAATTAGTGAATAATAAGAGAGGAGAGAGATTATGTATGAATTTTCATAGCAGAACAAGTTATTTTTGAACGTCCATTCACGAACTCGAACCTGTATGTTGTAAATGTATGACGCTCACGAACTCGAACATGCATTTTATTCATGCGCATAGCAAAGTAAATTTCACTCTCTGAAAAAACAAGAAAGGGTTTTATAAAAATTTATAGCAAAGGCAATTTTAATCTTAGCTAAATAACGTGCAACTGCAACTGCAACTCGCAAATAATTCAAAGAGAAAAAAACCTTTTTTTTTTTTTTAGCTGGATTAGCTAGAGATGAGGGGTATACTCACGTTGTCAAAATGTTTGCAACATTTGCAACAGAAAACTTCAATGATCCTGCATCACATTCTATCACGCATTTAGTATGTAATAAATGCTTATAATTAAAAGTTGTACTCTACTCTGGGTACTCCGCACTCTGAAGAATCGCTATTTTCCAAATATTATTTTAAATATTTCAAATATATGTGTTTTTGTTGTTGTTTAAAATTTTTCCTTTTTGAAAGCAAAATTTACTCTGCTGTGTGTTCTTACGAGAGCCTTTTTTGACTTTTTGAGTGTGAAAGAGTGAAATTTGCTTTGCTGTGCGAAAAAACTCGACTAAAAAAAATATAGCATATGTTTATATATATATTCGTGTAAGCAATTGTTAAAAAGTGCTATTTCTTTCTCTCTCTCTTCCAGACACGCAACAATGAGTACAGCAAAATGTTACACTAACAATGCCAGCAATACCTGAATAAATAATGCCAAATAAAGAGAACGGTTAGAAACCTAAATATTGTTTTGCACTCTGCGCAATAATTTCCCATAAACGACAAGTGTGCTGGCCGAGCTCTCAACACAACAATCATATATGACTGCAAAACATTGTTCGCGTCGTTCTCATTTATTGTCTTTTAAATGAATAGAAGACCACTTGAAATGAAACAATTTATTTGAGATTAACATGTGATGGTAAGATTCCACAAGTTGATCGCCCAGTTCCCCCAAATTCCACAAGTTAACCCCTCATTTTTAAGGTTCGTATCTTCGCTGAAATTGTCTTTGCTATTGTTCTCCACATTCTACAAAATATGCTTAATTTTTTTATAAACGGTTTATTTATTTATTTATATGCTTTATTCGCTACTACTGTTGCTTTTGTTGTTAAATTACCAAATTGTTTGTTTGTTTGTACAGAATTTTAACAGATGTTTTTTATTGATTAGCAGAGAATTTGGAACAAATTTAAATTTGCAATTTGCATTATAAATGCCGACGGCTTTGTGCTTTATTGGTCTATTATTTAACAGAATTGAACCCCTTTTGTCGGTTAAGTTGGGCTTTTAACCATTTATTTATTATAAGCGACTCTGTGCTTTGCCTTTCAACAGGGAATTTAGCGAGGACTTTGTTTAAAAATGATCGCGGTTTAATTCTAAGCTAACTTGTAAAATTATTATTGTTATTATTATAAATTTATTTAGAGAATACATTTTCTTCTCTTAAAGAGCTAGCAAAAAAAAAAAAAACTCTACCGAACTAGAGATTTGAACCCACGACATTGAGTTGATAACTTGTAAAATTAAATAAGTTCGCGTATTTTCCAAAACACTATATATACATCTAGAGGTGATGGATAGAAGAGGACATGATGGAAAAGCAAAAGCGACAAAGTCAAGGAAAAAGAATCGGAAACAATGAGGAAACCATTAAAAAGAATAACAACTTCTTTTATATATATTTTTATATATATTAATAAAGCTATTTTGAAGCTCTCTACAGGTCCAACTATTGTAAAATTTGAACACTTTTATTAATAGTAAGAATCAGCAGATTTTGAGGACAGTATGAGATCATGAGTTCTGTGGTGGCGGATATACAAGCTCTTGTCAATATGATTTTTTTTTTTTTATATACTATTGTCATATATTGAAATTTTGCATTGTAAACATAGTAGCACATTAGTAGGATTACGGAATAGTACGGAATAACATATAACATATATGGGACAAATGGCCTGTTAGACTTTGCTGACGAACTCTAATCGCTTTGCAGTAGGTAGGCTTCAGTTCTGCAGTCAATCGAACTTTGGGATTACACTGTATAAAGCTTCTTGCAATATTCAACTTTGAATTGATGTCCTAGGGATCCCAGCAGCATTCTCTCGAACTACTTGACAAATAAAATGACTACTACTAACCACACTTGCATAAATTATAATCAAAAATTTTCTAAATCTATCCACCCATCACAAATTGTCTTAAATTGGATAAAATCGCAAGAAATATATGTGGCCGCTGTGTGGCCAATGCAAAATTGTACAAAACTATCGCCGATAGCGTTCGGTGCTAGTGCTTTTAAGAGTTTAGTCTTAGAATTTATTTCTCTGGAGAAATTAATAATAATAATAATAATATCATCAAATTATTTGGGCCAAGCAGGGGATAGCAATCAAAAATATTTCGAAAACAATGGATTTTATTTATTTTAATTTGAAACCATTTATTTATCTGTCTTTGTTATATGTGTTTTTATGTATATAATTTATTCTAATCATAACGTAATCATGCAATCATTTGTATACATGATTGTACATATAAAAAATTTAGCTTCAATTCATCATTTATTTGATCATTTAAAGAGCGGTAAAATGTTTTCAGTAAATTATTGATAAAAAGTATAAAATAGGGTGCAAGAGATAATACACAATCGATATTATAATCATTTAAAAATTATATCAATATCTAATATTTAACAATCTTTAAGATTATGTCACATACAATTTGAATTTGACTGTTTTGACAGGGCGTGATATTATGAATTGAATTAGGGAAAAGTGAGAAAGTTGCCATCACCTTAAGGCTCTCATCTTAGATATATACCCACCCACCACATCAAGCGCATATTTATATAAATGTCAACTTTTTAGTAATCTTTGGATGACGCATTTGGACAAACCGACTAAAAATGTTCGATGACTTGGATCATGAATATATATAAAAAATTTTAGATAGCATTATACGCTCTAACTTTTAATTTATTAATGACAATTATTGAAATTTTGCTTTTCTTTTTTTTAAAGATATTGATACGCTACATTAACTTGTGATACAAGGGTGTGTTAAGTTTGCGTCGATGTACGCAACGGCGAGAGCGACTTGAAAGAGACCCACCTTTTATTATGCTGATCAATTCTGTATCATATTCTGAATCGATTTAAGCTTGTCTGTCCGTTTGTCCGTCTTATTTTTTTTTTGTCTAACATCGACATGTTTTGGCCCAAGAACGAAGGCTATTGAAAACGCATTTTTTTTCGTTCACGTATTAAACAGCAGACAGTTTTGCCTTCCTAGGAGCGTGATCTCAAACCTTATATCGTCGAAATTTATATATCCTTTTTCCGGTTTTTTGATCTTACAAACGAAAACACATTCTTTGATGATGGCCATAAATTTTTGTTATTTATTTTTTAATTTAGTCTCTTTTTCCAAAATAAAATTATGTCAAAACGAATAAAATTTGAACAGTTCCCTTTTTAATTTTTGTTTTGGCTTCTATTTTTTCTTTTTTGGTGGCGGCGGGGAAGGATTTTGAGAAAAACTAGAAAAGAATCTTAAATTCTTAAATAATAAATGACTACAAATTTACTTTAGAGATGTAAAATAATAATTAGTGAAAAAAAGTCTTCTTGAAGAAACGGTATTAGGATTAATTATGAGATTAAAATGAAAAATAAGAAAAAAAAACTATAATAATAATAATAATAATAATAGTAATAATAATAATAATAATCATATAGTAATAAAAAAGCACAATCAGACTTGAAATATTTTTAAATTATTGTTTAAGCAATGAAAAAATTTCTTTATTATTGAAAACTATAATAATTTTAAATTTAATATTGAAATTTATATAAAAATCCAATTATAAAATTTTGGAAATTTCAACTTTTTTTTTTTTGTTTTCCACAAATCTATATTAATTCTTTGCAAAATTTTCTTATGTAAAAAAAAAGGAAAAAAAACGATCGATTTTTACCGAATGTTTTCAATACCCATCAATCGCTTGTCTTTGCTTTCGTAACCCGTACATGTATGATACGCCGAAAATATATCACAGGGATGTAACATGGTAAGGTAACATGCTATGGAAGCGTAAGGCCATAAAAAATATTCTTAAAGCATACCATACCTAGGCTTTCTTAACATGTGCGAAATATCGCCGATTTAATTTTTATGAATAGAAGTCAAATGAATAAATTTCTAATTTAAAAAATCGATATTAACTGAGAGTAGCTGAGAGAGAATTATAAATTGCGGAAATCGGGAGGTCTGAAAAATGTTTTAACAGCAATATTATATGGCAGTATTGGGTATGTAATATGCTATGCAACAATTAGCATCCCGTTGCGAAACTATTCGGTAATATATACAGCGGCAGCCAACAAAGCATGCTATCATATTTACGCTTCCCTGAATACACTTTAAGTCGGTAATTTTCTATTTCAAAATCTCATCCCGTCATTGTTATCAAATTTAGTTAGTATTTGCGTTAAAAAAGGAGGGAAGTCATCATAAATTTTGTAGAAGGAGCCAGACAGATAGAGAGAGAGAAAGAGAAAGAGGGAGACTTCTTGTCCATTTATTTTTATTTTAACAACAACAAATAGTTGTATGTTTACTGAAAGTTAAGGACCCGCGGTTATTCCTTTTATGTGCCTGTGTTGACATCGTTAATGCACTATTTATACTCTACACCACTCGTGATACAGCGGTATTTTACGTTTTTGCGGACGTATACAACACCCACAGGGACTTGAGATAAGTCCGTATTTTATAATATTATTTCGGTCGATTCAGAAAGTTATTCTTAGTTTGTCTGTCCGCTTGTCCGTCTTGATTTGTTGTGTCTCGATTAAACTGTGCATACCGATATATTTGGAGCCAACGACGAAAGCTAGTAAAAACGATTCCGGTCGGATTTGGCAATTTTGCTATTTATTCCCATATAATGTTTTAACCCGAAAAGTCGTTACATGAATAGCTGTAAGGTGGTGTAGGGTATTTAATGCCCATAGTTCTTTAGAGTTGGATTATTTAATTAAAAAATATAAATAAATAAGATAGATGTTGTAAAGACGGATCGAGCTCATTTAGATTAATCACGATTCTATATATATATATATATATATATATATATATATATACATATATATATGTACCGACTGGGAAGTCCCGTATAGGTATTGCAAACTTTTTCCTTTTTGATGGGTATAAAACTATTTTTCGAAAATCCATTTAGAACATTATGACACTGACTTTGGAGCATAGATGACAAACTGAGAGATAATGTAATAAAAAAAGAAAGTATTTAAAATATTTTTTAAGATTATTTTATGCTTAAAGCAAGTAACTGACAGACTAAAAAATAAAAATTAATGTAAAAAAAGAATACAGTACATATATATGAAAATAAAACCCGACATTATTAGCACACACTTACAAAAGCACAAGCACACTTATAACAATTATAGAAAAATTAATAGCTATTATCTATGATTTTTCTCGTCCGTGACAAGAAAATAATAAATTTTGTTCTTAGTTTTTTTTTTTCTTTTTTTTTTATTATTATTATTATTTTTAATTTCGAGGCTGCTTTTAAAGCACATGCTTTCCATGCTCCGCTTATTTTTACAGAAAAAAAAAAAAGTTTTTCTCATTTGATAAAATATTTTAGAATCTTTTTTAAATAAATATACATTCATGTGCGTGTATATAAATATACATATACATACACAAGTACATTCGTACCGGATATCCGGATATATATATCCGAGTATATACATCCGGGTATAAATATCCGGATATATAAAACCGGTTATACATATCCATATACGTATCTTTATAGATATACATATAAGCTTAAAATAAAAACCCTTTTTTTTAATTTTTTTGTATGGCAGTCATCATAAAACACATTTTGAGATGTTTTGTTTTGTTTTGTTATTTTTTTTTTTTTTTTTCCTAATAATAATTTCACTTTGCATTTATGTCAAAACTCAGCAATTTGTTTTTTTTGTTCTTGATGGTTTTTTTTATAAGGTTACATAGTTTTTTTTTTCAAAAACAATTCATTAGACAAACGTGAGTTTTGAGTATAAATCTAAGATAAGGAAAAACATTGTAAAGACTTTTATTTGTTTGTACCTTTAAAAGTTTTAAAACTCTCAATGATATAAATTTTTGTTTTTTCAAATTCATTTAAAAAAATTTTCTGTTTTTTGTTCTTCTTAAACATCTTTTTTCTTATTATTATTTCATAAAATTGGTCCTCCTCAATTACTTGGTATCATTACGTCGATCGAGTTGTATTTAAACTGAAAAAATCAAAATAAAATTATTAAAAATTTCGGTTTATTTTTTACTTTTAAAACAAGAAAATACAGCTGCACTTCGGTTTGCACAATATTTGATTTTAGATAATTTCGCTATTAGAGCCTTTTTTCCATTCAAAAATATTATTCTCTTAAATATATTGAGGTGTATTGAATTTGTACGAATGTATACAACACTCAAACGGAAGTGATATGGATAAGGAATGACTAAAGGCATTTCAAGTTTCGCTGTGCGTCTGTCTGTCAGATGTCTCGTTTTGCATCTATTTTCGTGTTCAATCTAGAGATCGAAATTTTCGCGCCCCTCTCTGTATAACACCTCCACTGAAAACTAAGCTTTGGTATGGCAGACAATTACCCAAATGTACGCAAACTGCTCTAAATAGTACATATATCTTCTGCAAACCGCATAAAAAAGCAATCAATCTAAGGTAAAGCCCTAAAGCCATCACACTGGTTTCATTAGAGTTTGCGTTGTCTGTATTACGCATGCAGAAAGAATTGAGGGACTTTTTGATAAGTCAAAGCAAATCGCATCATACAGTGTTTATTGGGCATCATAAAGATCTAAGTACCTCTGTTTCGCAATTATGTGCCATTGAAAGGCAAGACCTGTAAATCCAGTGCGTTCAACTTTCGAATATAATCGAAATTCATGAAAAGGCATACGAAAGAAAATAGTCAAAAATGCACATCTCTTGACTTTGCATTTGAAGAAACGAACAGAGAGAGAAAAGAAAATAATCACGAAAGAAACGATTTTATAAAAGAGAACAAGAAGAACGATCTACTGTGTAAATCACGGGTACAGATGTATTTTGCATCCATTTCCATTTTTCTTACCTTGATCGAAAGTGCTGGGATTAATGTAACTAATTAAATCTTGATCGGACATGGTTGTTATTTCTTGCGGTATGGCTGGTGGTATGGCGGCTGCCGCCGCCACGGCCACTGCTCCCACAGCAGCAGCTGCTGCAGGATGTAAATTTGCAGCTTGTGCTGATGTTTCTTGCGTAACCACTGCTCCGTTTGTAGTAATCGCTGCCGCCGTTACAGAATTTTGTATAGCATTTTCCGTAGCCAGTGCGACGATTAGAGATTCTTGCGGTGGTGTAGCCCTGCAAATATTTAAAGTAATAAGTGAAGAAAAAGAAAAAAATCACATAAATAAAAATCAAAGTAAAAATTAGAGGCTGAATAAAGCCCGTGTCTATGTTTATATTTATAGGATGCTTTTCTTCATGAAGCGTTTCAATAATTTGTTCTCGAGTTCAAAGTGAAACAAAAAGAAGAAAAAATGAAAGCAATTTAGTGTTTCGCGGCCCTGTTACTAATAATTTAGCAAACATTTTCATTCTACACCCATAGTACACTTTACACGAACTGTTTTAAAAATGAATTAAATTTAAATAAATATTTTTTATATGAAAAGAGAAACATTTTTTTTTTTTTTTGAAAAAACCAATTTTTGTTAATCTTTCACGAGACTGTTGAAATTCGTCCCGTGCTGATCGAAGACTTGTTCAGTCGTTGAGGAGTTCGGAAGATGCACAGGATCAGGTCTTCAATCTTGTAAAATAATTTGATTGTCTTCGAATGGTTGCCACACTTCGCCACCTAATTACGGACGGATGTAGGAATAAATCTCCGCGCAAAATTTTTGAATACTCGGATAGAAATTGAAAAAAAATATATACATATATAAAAAGTAACAATAAAATCGAAAAACTTTTGCAATCTCTTGCAGAATAAATGCTGTACGGACCGTAATTGTATGAAACATAAATTTACAAAAAGATGGAAGACATTTTCGAACAGCTTTCAGTAAATCTTTACATAATGTAACAGACGAAAACGAGAAATCCCAGCTTATGCTCATTTGCATAACTCATCCCATAATTAATTTATGACATCGAACAGTGCAAGGTAACGGACTTATTTGCTTTTAAGTACAATTTATGTTGGGCTTGGAAGTTTATTTACTGGAAATATAACTTGATGAGCTTATAGGAAATCTGTTGGACACAATCCGGATAATTGTATATATAATGCCATCTGCAAGGCGATTTAATAACTCTTTCAATTTTATGGATTCTAAATTAAGAAAAACAAAAAAAGAAGAAAACGAAAAAAGAAAAGCAGATATTGCGTTCGATTTAATAAATTAATTGAATCAACGAGCTGCCTTCTTTCTTCTTCGTGCGCGTAAGCAGAAGCATATTGAGTTGTATAGAACATAGTTGTACTTACATTGCTAAAGGAAACGGTGGCGCAACTTCAGCTACCGGATTGTTGGCACTGACGGCCGCCTGCGTTGCCGATCCTACGTTACTGTGATTTAAGAGCAAATTTAAAGGATTTAGAGCATCTGCAGTTACGCTTTGGCCAGTCAGCATCTGCGTGGCACTGGGTGCTTGGGCTTGTTGCTGTTGTTGCTGAGATTGTTGCTGTTGCTGTTCTTGATTAGAAATGAAATCAGCAGCAGCCTTGATGATCATATTACTAACGGCCGTAGAAGTGGCTGAACTCACTTCGGGTTGCAGATTTGCTGCTGTTGGCGTCACTGAATTCCCATTCACTTCACTAGGTGAAGTCATAATAATATTACTAATAGCCAAAGCTGCTACAGCAGCATCCTGCTGTGTAGGCTGGGGCTGCATGGCGATATCGTTGAGTATTGAATTTGCCATTGTTACTTGATGGGGTGTCATAATATTAGGCACTACAGCTGTAGCAGCTCCATTATCTGAACAAAGGATCGTTGAAGGTGACACCGAGGGATTCATAATGATGTCGGTAGTAAGGCCTGATGCGGTAGCTGCTCCAACTTCATTATTAACGCTAATTGTGGTACCGGTTGGCCCAGCGGGCAACAGTTGCTGAATGGGTAAAGCAGCAGATAAGGCAACAGCTGGCTCTGAATTGAGTATAATATCCTGTGTAATTGGTGAATTGTGAGTAGTCAATGAATTGGTTGGAGACGAACCGGTCAACGGAGAGCCCGATGTCGATGGTGATGAGCCCGACGAATTGGATAGATTACGCTCTAAAACAACAGTAGCTGCTGTATTTGCTGGAGCACTGGTGACAGCCGCTTGCTGCAATATATCAGTTAGAGCATGATCGATAACAGCTGCTGCAGTATTTGGTACTACGTCGAACAGAGAAGGCTCCGTAACGTTGGGTGGGGTATCTTCTACATTTGTGGATTTGGTTAAATCTGTTATAAATTTATCGACTTTGGCTACTGAAACTGCTTTGGCAATTTCTGCCATTTCCACAGCTGCCGCTACAGCAGCCACTTCCATGGGCGTTGCTGTGGTCGGTGGATTTGTAACAGGAAAACTTTGCATACTGTTTGTTTCATATATCATGGCATCAATACTGGTTTTACGACCGTAACGGGCATGATACCGCAAGGCAGTAGGACTTTGCGGCCCACCTACACTTACACCACAAGTAACTACTGCTCCCTCGGGCGAATGCAAGGCATCGGCCAAGGAGTTTTGTGAATTTTCATCCAATAACTCCGTCTTAAGAACATCAGCTGTTACGGCATTCAAATGAACCAATTGCTGATCACTAATTAAATTAGACTGTGGGGCAGTAGTGGCGACCGAGTTGTTTAACGAAGGGCGTCTAACACCCATTGGCATTTGTGTGGTAATAGGTGGCGGCATTATATCAGCATCAATTTCATGCTTAGTTTCAGTAACTGACCATAAAGTATTGGGCGGACCATTGGCAGTTGAGGGAAGAGGCAAAGGCGGTGCTGCACTAGTATCCATAAATTGAGAACCTACAAAAGAATGCAAGCATAATAATTAATAATAGCTTAATGGAAGAACTTAAAAGCATACTGAAATTTATGGCAAACAGAATCAATGGACAAAATCTTAGAAATGAAAAGACTTTTGGCTAAAGAAAAAACAGAACGAAAAACAAAATTAAAAACTGAAAAACGGAAAAAATTATTAAATTTTTTGTTTTTTAAGGCAATCGCTAAACTTCTTAGACGGTAAATGAATTAAATTCTACTAATGAAAATTATTTTAAATAAATTAAATGGTTATTGAGGCCCTTTTTTGTTTAATTTTCTTCTTCTTAATATTATTATAATATATTTTTTTTATCTCATCGCAAAGAAATTTTCGCCAATTTAATCAGAAAAACGAGCATAGATGATTTTGATGAGATATTAAATTACTTTGTAAAATAGCATAAACATGTTTGCGATAGAGAGAAATAAGACGCGTTAAGACGCATATAAGCACGCACAGGAAGAATTGTCGCAGTTTTACAACAAAAATTGAGGAAGCACAAGAACAGTTAAGGCTTTGTTAACACATTTTTTTTTTTTTTTTGTCTTATTTACTTTTAGTAGCTAGCTCTATCATCCTCTTGCCCTCTCAAGCCGTCAAAGTTTTTATCTACAATTTGCTGTGACTTTATAGCAACGATCGATTACTTTGCTTAACCTTTATTTTCCTTATTCCTCTGCCTCCAAAACATTTTATACATTGCTTGCATGTTTACAAAGTAATTTTTCTTTTCTACTTTTTTAATTTCAATTTTTCAAATCCTTTTCAGCTTAAGTCTAGAAAAAGTTTTTAAAAACTAAAAAGAAAAAAAAAAAAAAACAAATATTTATACTTAAAAGATAATTCGAAATGTTTCGCAAATGCAATTTAATTAATAATTTTAAAAATAATTGTAATTTCTTACACCTATAGAAAGTGGTGATATAAAATACAGTGTGTGTGCGTGTGTGTGTGTGTATGTGTGTGTGTGTGTGTTTAAGAGTGTTGAGATTTTTCGAGCCACCAAGGCAAGAGTAAAATGCAGGCCGCTGAAGCACATTCAGAAAAGGCTCACATAGTGAGGCCAACGTTGAATTCCCGTCTTTCGGTATAGTGTTCGTTCCTTCGAAAGCCGCCCAGGTTTGTTACTCTGTTTTTTTTTTTTTTGCTTGAAGGAGAGCATTTTATTAGGTAGCGAATAAAAGTGGCTTCAGATGCATAATAGGATATATTTACCAGGTTTGCTCAGAAAATACGCTGTTTTTTTTTTTTTTGTATGCTAATTATCGTAATTATTTTCAAAATTGGCAACAATACAAATTACTTGCCTATAAGGCAAGTCTTTCAGTGAAGTCTCCTCTTACGAAACGTTGCTTTAAGTGACTCGATTTTCTCAGGTCAGTGACAAGTGCTTGTCGCACAGTCGCACAGTCGCACATTGTAGGTCATTGATTCGAGTGAATTTGATCGAATACCAATGGAATGAACACATTCCCTTTATTGCTTCCGCTACTTTACCTTGTTGGCAGCGGGACAGAATTCAAAGTATATAGCCTTTCAAATTTATTTTTCATAAAACGATTAATTGCTTGCGTGTAAAGAGGGCCGTAATACTGTAACGTAATAATAATTGGCATTGGTTCGTGTAAAGTTGTCATGTCCAGATAGATCTTACATTAATTGCACGCAACAGTTATTCAAGATTTGTTACGGATAAAATGGAAGGGAAAATGGAAGATGAGCAGCAAAAACCATGCATCCCACTATTGAATTCCATTTTTGAGCAGAAATTTCAGAGTGGAAAGCTCAATTAATTAATTAATTAATGGCTGACCTATTCGTTTTGATGAAATTCCAATTACACGAAATATCATTCGTGAAGGGAACGTACAGCACTAGTGGTGTAAGCAACGCGCAGAAGGACTTGAACTAGACCCACTCTGTATTATGCCAATCGATTGAGAAAGTGATTGTAAACTTGTCTATCCGTCTGTCCGTTTTGCTTTTTGGGGTTCAATTTACAGGGCCAAATTTTTTAAGATATTCCGACTAAATTTTGCGCGCCGGCGTATTTTGATCTAAGGGCTGAAGCTATTTGACAATGATTCGAATCGAAACACGAACTTTTTCGACTACTTTTTATACAAAATGTCATTTGGAAAAGTGAATAAATGAGTGCCTGTAAGGTGGGGAGTGATCCATTGTAGTGCTATAGTGCTTTTGCATACACACACTTGTTTAGTTATGAGAAATCTGATATACAAATTTTCTTTTACAAATTGTTTAAAATCAATTAAAAGCAATTCCAAATAAACTCCATTTGGATCTTCTGTATTCTATTTTATGCTAATTTTGAAGTTCAAGCGATCCACGAGTAGGCGAAGTCTTTTCGTCAACATTTTGACAGAGAGAAATATAAAATCCTTTCTGGGTCCTAACTAAATTCCAACTATGTTTAACAGAAATCTCGAAAATGGGAAAAAAACTCTAATGCAATTGTTGATGAATATATATTATACATATATATAAAGATACAATTTTGCGCGTATTCTTTGAACAAATCCCGCGTAATTAAAGCAAAGGAATAGTGGTAATAAGAGAGTTAGTTGTTAAACATCACGGTTAGTTGAATGCTTTCCCTTATGATTAAAGAGAATATTTGTATATAAATTTAAAACTTTACTTTACCAAACGAAATAAATGTGGCAGTGCACTCCACTTACGGCATGTAAAGTTGAAGCCTAAAGCTAAAGAATTTAAAGGGAATTCGTTAAAGAGTTTTCTTTCGTAATGTTTACAGGAGTATAATGTGCGAAAAAGAATCGCAAAAATGAAGGAAGCGAGAGAGAGAGAGAAAGTGAGAGAGAGAGAGAGAGAGAGAGAGAGAGAGAAAGACCTCTTCCACCCGTTAGTAGGGATGCATATGGAAAATTTATTAGAATCAATGATTTACAATAAAAATGATACATGACTTCAAAAATAGCGCACATATCCCCTGGGACCTATTAACTTAGTTACGAAAAAATTGACAAAAAAAAAAAAGATTGAGAAATACTGGTAAATAACGAAGCAGAAGCTCATAGTCTATACGAAAATCATATCAACTGATTAGATTTTTCGATCGAATGACGATTATTCGGTTTATGGAAAAAATCATGCACCCAAGCCCGTTTAGGTTCGTTAGTTCCAAACACGTTTATAACGCCTAGAATTTTCAGTGTCAGAAATTTTGTAGACTTCCACAGACGTGGAAGTATTAAACGCCACTTCTTTCGATACTTTTCTTCTTCAATTTCGACTTTTTTTTCTTTTTAGCAACGCTTATCTAATGTCTCTTAAGGCCGCTTTGAATAAAAAACTGAAGTTAAAAGCAACTCTTTTAACAAACAATTCATTATACGCTAACTGTTACTTCATCTTAACTGTAAGCTCACCTTCGATTGACTATTACCTGGAAGAACAATTAAACGGCAACGACAGATAAGAAAACAATTATGTGATGAAATAAAATGAATGAAAGAAAAAATTCTATCACAATAATCTAAACTAAACTAACAATGTCCGAAAACGAGTAATTTACCTTTTAGTTAAGAGTGTCGGTTATACGAGGTATTTATTTGCAAACATTTAGCCACATCCGAAATCCATAATCTGTGAATAAATTAGGCCCCAATAAAGAGACCAATTTGCTTACGAGAGGTGTGCTAGGCAACTTGGACATTGGTTTGCAACGAATCAACGAATCAAACATTTAAGAGCATTTGTATCCGTTCATCATTTTCTAACGATATGTATATATGTATATGATAGAAAGATATATATCGGCAAGACATTTCGTTTTTTCCGAACAATGGATTTTTTTGTATTTTTTCATAGCCAAGTTGAAGCTTGAGAAGACATATGACAGACGATCAGTGCCATAGCAAGTTTACAAAATTTCATTCCGATAATTTTGCAATTGGAGATGTGCCACGTTTGTACAAGGTCAGTTGAGGCTAATGAAGCCGGAATGTAATCCGACGAATAACAATATGTAAGACTACATTTATCGAATTCGACCGTGCATTATAGTATATATAGCGACTATAAAAAAGCCGTCTTTCATTTCGACCAAAAAACCGAAACGACTATCCGAACAAGCTATACGTGTTTCGATGCTGATAGTTTGTCTCCGGCAATGAGTGACGAAAATTTAACAATCGTTGAAAACTTGAAAGATGAAATTGCAAGAAGGGGTCTAGAAATTTGAAAACAGAAGAAAGTGCAAAAGCTTGCTGAAGAGAGAGCCGTCGGTTAAACGTTAGTCCACCCAAGCCAATCACAAAAGTCAACTTTCAATTATGGTGACAATCTGCTCAGCAACTTGCACTTTTCAAAAAGTACATTTGAGAGAAAAAAAAAGGTAAAGAAAACCAATCATTTTCTGCAAGCGTCTAATTTGGTGAAGATATGTGGACAAGCTATATTTGCGCTTTGGAGAAAGCCTTGAATTTTTACCATTCTATGTGTTTTTGATTTTTTTTTCTCACTTATAGACATGTCAATGGACCATATGGAATAGTTTGGACATCAGGCTTTTAAATTTAATTGCATTCAATTTCTAATGAAATCTTGCTATAGGTGATAAGTAATTGCTGAGAAGGATTCTTTATTCTCTCTAAAATGTAGACCAAATTAACTTTCAGTCTGAGGAACTACGGATCGAAGAAACTTATCGGAATAAATATTTATTTATTTATTTATTTAATTATTATTGTTATTATTATTGATGACTGGATATATATATATATATATATCGATATTGTAAGCAAATGTTTATTGATTCTACATATTTTTGGAGACCACTAACCATCCAGTGAAACAAATACTGAATCCTTTTTAAGAATTATAGAGTTTTAAACAAAAATGATAACAATTAGTTGATTGGCCTGTCGTTCCAACTTCTTCTAGGTCTTTACTTGCAATTTTGGCAAAGTCATAGCTTTTGTCTGAAAAGCGA